TCTCTCGGCGGAAGTTGATGCCTGTGACACGTATAGCCGTAAGTTTTTAAGTCTGCGATTGTCATATGAAAATCTGGTGAATAAGCAGAAATTGGCCAGTGTTAAAGGTGACGATGGAAAAACAGTGTCATCACAGTTGTCGGCGAACGAAAATTCAAGTAGGCGTAAATTTAGATTACCCAAAGTTGAATTAGATTTATAGAAAAGTGATTGGTTTACGAGTTATGAGACATATTATTCAAGTAAACAAAGCTTTGAAATCAAAAAAAAAGAAAACAAAGGGTGGTCCAGATTTTAATAGACAAACTTCGGGAAAGTTTTAAATAACAAAAATTAACATCACTTTGTTCTATGAACATAGGCACAGAAAGCTACAGTTTATGAGATACAGGGCGTTGATATTAACAAAAATAAAATAATTTTTTTAAATATCTGGAAAACCGAATCATAATATGTCTCATAACTCGTAAACCATTCACTTTTCGACAAAAATAAAAGGGTGTTTTTTCATCCGAAATGTTTCAGACCGTTGTAAAATGTGTTCATATTATCAATTAATTCAGTGGCATAAAAGTTTTACTTTAAATAAGGAAACGATATCATTGTTTCTCCGCCACTGGTTTTTGAATTTGGACTTTGTGCATACAGAACTAGGAGAAATATACAAAAAAAAAAAATGTGTAGGTACCAAATTTGGATAATTTTGATGAAGCGGTTTTCCAGATATTTAAAAAATATATTCCATTTTTATAATTTCAACGCCCTGTATCTCATAAACGGTGGCTTTCTGTGCCTATGTTCATAATATTTGTTATTTAAAACCTTCCCGAAGTTTGTTTATTAAAATCTGGACCACCCTGTATAGTGATAACGATACAAATTTTGTTGGAACTGAAAATGCGTTGTCGACACTTGATTGGGGGAAAATTACCGAAGAGACTTCAGTGCGACGAATTTCTTGGTTATTCAATCCACCCACTGCGCTATGGTGGGGCGGTTTTTGGGAGCGTACGGTAGGTGTCCTGAAACAACTAAAATGTTTAGGTCCGTTTGAAGAAAGTGCTTCCGGGGAAGCACAGTCTACCATCCAGCAAGATGTCAGACCTCAGATGATGAGTGTAGTGATGCTGAAAGTGTAGGAGTGTCTTTTAATAATAATAATAATCTTTAATTCGTAAAAACATTAACATTTACAATGACAATGTAAGAGCGAAATGGTGTCTGCTTTTCATAGCATTGTACCTGCAAAACTAACGTGTAGTGGTAGAGTAACGCGTATACATAAGCGATTTTTGTAGATTTAATATTTTATGTTTTATTTTATCTGTTATCAGGTTCATATCTATGATGGTACCGATATCTTAGTTTAATGAGTCACATTTTGTTTATGCAATAAAAAATGTTCCTCAGGTGGGAGAGCATTCATTGTACCCATATCTGACTCGATGCCATACCGATTGTTTTATAACGATCATACGTATTTTCCCAATAATTTGTTAACCTAATGATTAATGATTATATAAAAATTTGTACGATATGGTTTATAATGGACAATCTCATAATTTGTTACAATTAGTTTATCACCAGACGGTACGTCACGTATTTAATCATATAAATCGCAAAATGTCCGAACCACGGGCTGCCATTTCTTAAATTATTGTTAAAATAGTCTCCTCTTACCTTCTTTCCTCATCTTCTGATTTTATGTCGACACATTCGGCTTTGATCGACATTTCCATCTCGTTAATATCGAATCTCTTGTCCGGGTTTTCAGTTTTAACGAATAAATCAAGTTGAGACGTATCTATTTGACTTTCTGTGGCTGAACTATCAAAAGTACTTTTAATTTTTTCCTCTACCTCTAAGCAATCTTTCAGGAAACTGTTGTGAGTACTCAGAGAATCCCAGCATGGCTTACATACAACGGGACCTTTGATGATATTTATAAACTGCAAAGCAGTTTCGTTAAATTATAAAATATGCAAGTAATTAATATTGTTCATACCATTTCAGGTGTCAATTTCTGAATAGCTTCGAGTTCCTCTTCACGTATGCACCTAAACTCACTTTCTACTGGCTGCATACACAATCGACATATTTTCTGACTGCAAACTAATTGACTTTTCTTTTCCTGCATGTACACTTCTCTTAAGTCCAGCTGTAACATTTTTTCGCTATCCACATAAGGAATAATTGTGTTATCAGTATTCAAACATGTCGACTTAAATTCTGAAGCCGCATTTAAGTTCCTTCTGCAAGCATTACATATAACCTCTTTGCTCTCATCATCAAACTTCTGAAAAATACGCATCTTCAGACACAAAGAAAATAACTGTGGCGGAAAATAACAATTAAATACTAAAAGTTAATTTACACTCGAAACTGTTAAGATGTAATCTAAGTATAATTCACTCTTACCAATTTCAGCAAAAGACCATCTAGAATGTCTCTGATAATGTTGTTTATCACTTCAAAACTTTCATCGGTTATATTTTTAAGGCAAAGCCTACACGATGTTTTCTTAACATCAGTCATTACTCTGCAACAATCTTCTTTTAAATTTAAACAGAAAACAGAACGCAGAGCAGAGACAAAAATACAAAGCACAAAGCCGTCAGTGGCTTTAGTCGTCACTTCTAACCTTCTTGGCTTCTTATATGACGGCATTGGCAGCGCATCTAGTTGTGGGTTATGGTTAGGAATAGAGATGGGCGAAACATGACGATCCGGCTCTCTGTACTGACACTAGACCGGAGTGACCCAGTTCTTTCGTTTCTTTTGTGGTCGTGTGATTACGCCTCTCTATATATTTTTATTAATGTGACCGCGCCATTATTCTATGGCTAGAAATTGGCCTCAATGATTTGGGATCGAGGGGGATTATCCCTCTTTATCCTGCCTCATCTCGTGTAGGCCTGGACAGCCTTCGTAGGTGGGCCCCATCCGTCGTGTACCCCGACCGCAAATGCGGCCGGTGTATGCGCTTTGTGGGACCTCCTTTTGTCCTGGCTGGGCCCCGCCGGCTAGGGCCCTTTCTTCTGGCGCTCTTCTTGCTTCGCCGGCTCGTCTGTGTAAACCCCGGGGGTAGTGTCATGTTTATGTGTGGTATGGTTGGGTAGGGTAGTGCGGCTATGCAGCCTGGGATGCGCTTTGCTAAGGTGGCCCTTAGGCTAGCGCGGGAGGGGAGGGATAAGGAGGGTATGGGGGGTGTGTATGTGTGTGTGTGTGTCGTTGTCTTCGTTTCTTGATCCTGGCTGTCTCTGAAACAGAAAATGTTAGCGGGCAGGGGGGGGGGGTGTCGTTGGGGTGGTCAACCAGGGTCAAAAAGTTGGTGTCTAGGTCTTTTGTGTTTGTCGGTCACTTTTCTAAGAATCAAATCGTCACCTTTTCACAATATAAATACTAAACACAAACCTAAGTTGCACATCCTAATTGGCAACAGTGTATCGTCTCGTCGTCACAACTTCAGGGGTGCGGTGTTTAAAATTTCTTCTAACTTGAAAAATTTATCAAATTGTTTGCATTATGTGCCAATTTTAATTTTCATGTTATTTGAAATAAATATTAGTTGAAAAAAAGTCATACCTATCAGGGATCGAACCCGGGACCCCAGTGTGACAGTACAACGCGTTACACTCTGAGCCAACACCTCACGGTTATTAATTATTCATGTCAATCTTTATAAGGTTAATATTTTGAAATATTTAATTAATAATACATAATATAAACACATTAACAATTTTAGTTAGTGTCAAAACAACGGTGATATTTTTTAATAGGTCGCTTAATTACGTCTTTAAAATTACAATGACGCTTTCAGAATCATGTTTGGTTGAAAATTAACGCCTGTACAGAGGCTTAAAGTTCATAGCTTTTGGAGCCTCCGTTATAAACAAATTAAATTGTGCGAAAACTGTTGCACTTACAGCGACCACTTTTGGCACATTTTTGAAGTATAACAAAATCCTCAACTTGTCATAGGTTTTATAAAATTTTAACAATAAATGCAATAGTTATAAACAAATTAAAAAATGGGTACTTTTCTTGTTTTTCTGCAATAACTTTTTTGTTTATTAACCGATTGTAATTTAACAAGTCTCATTTTGTAGATAATTTTAATCCCTATAAGCTGCCTGAGAGTTACTTTTCGCTAAAATTGATGATTTTCCCTGCAAAGTGAAAAAACTGTTTTCCTCACTTAAATTAGCTAAAAAAAGTTTTTGACTCACGAGACGAAAGATGTCTTGTATCATGTTCCTTTAGACAATTTTACAATAATCTCGCGGATAGGACTTTTTTCGAGTAAAAATCTTATTTGCTTGGCCTATAATACTGTTTTTTAACATTTCAATATTATTTGGTATTGGAGTAGCACAAACAAAACAACTTGTTTTAAACGACCCCATAGAAACATATCGACCATGGTTTAGTCAGGGCTCCTTGGAGGCCACAAAATTGGACCATTTCTACTAATCCATCTTGGACCAAATCTATGGTTAAGCCACTGTGTTACCTCGCAAGCACAATGTGCTGGACAACCATCCTATTGAAAATACATTTTTTGGCGAAAATTTAATGGTAAATTTTCGAGTTCATCGATAAAAAATGTATCAAGCATTTCTAACTGCTCTGATTTAGAGATGTGCCAGAGAGTACTTAATTCAATTTTTGATAACGTGACTCTTATTAATTTTTCAAGCAAAAACTTTTATCAAGAATGCCTTCTTTCGTATCTTGCAAAGTAAGGTACATTTATGTTTACTCCTACTGAAAATAACATTTTTAAGTTTTTAACACGCCCTGTACAATATAATTGAAGTTCGTCATGGTGATTCGTGTTTTCAAAACAAGCAAAAACTATTATCAAGGTTCTTCTAATTTTTCGAAATGGTCGTACCGACCTTTGACCATCCTACAGCATAGAGACGGTGATTTGTCCAAACTGCCACTACTGCCAGTGTTATTGCAAATCTGAGAGTGTAACCACAGCCAACCCTGCCGGTTTAATTTCGACAGGTAATGAGATAAGGTTCGTCTCTTTTTAAATTATTATGCCACTAATATTCTAGTTTGTTGTTCCTGTCGCATATTATATTAAGTGTATTTTATTTTATAAGCTACTTTAATATCTCACAAAAAGGTGCGTTGTTTACAGGGTTGTTCTTTAGTGTTATTATTTACAAAAAGTGTATTTATAGTCGCAATAAAACAATACAAGTATAGTCTATTTCGTATGTACACACATTTCATATTTTGAAAAAAAGTTGTTGGTTTCTAGTTTCTTTCAATTGTTCCCGCAGCTGCTTCGTTCGATTTTTTGCTGGTGCTCGTAAAACATCACTGAGTTTATTTGCAAACAACCTAATATGACTCAATAGTTGCAGGGATTAATTTACTGTTTTTAATCAACTTATTATCGTTCATTGCAATGGTCAGTTTAATTTTGAGTAAATTATGGACTTCATTAATATATTAATATTATTATCTTTTATTAATAATTTAATTTAGTAATAACAATAATAATAATATTACTTAGTAGTGCTACTGTTACTGTTATTATTATATTCTGTTCGTTGAAGTATTTATTTTCATTAACAAATTATATATCTATGTATATACTTTGTTAAAAACGTGTTTTTATTTACATCGAATACCAAAGTGTCATTGTTTATTAAAAACTAACATCTAAATTAATTGAGAAATATTAGCTGTTTATGCACCAAGCACGATTACATTTATTATTTCACATTATCTCACAAACAATAAGTACTAGGTTTGCAGAACCTTTAATATAGTTCATCTATTTTTTTATGGTGCTTTCACAAATACAATAAAATACAGGGTGTTCCGTTTAAAAGCACATAACATTGATATGGAACGCTTTTCCTGGACATCCTGTATATTTCAAATTATTTTTAAAACGTAGCCGTAATCAACCTACACATACCCACCTATACAGGTTTCTGTAACATTTGCCGTTTGGTCCCTAGCGACCGAGGCGTTACTGGTGGCCCGCCCTGTATAGTATCTTTTTATGTAGAAAGTTTAGTCACCACATATGTGGAATGTTTGAACTTTAAGTTAATATCTAGTAGATCGTATTATTTTGTGTAACATACGAGAATGGCGAGTGCTTTTTGTGTTATTAGAGGTTGAAAGATCATAAAAGTTGGTATTGAATTAAAACAAATAAACACATTTATAACATCCTAAATCTCCAATTATAAACCTCAGGGTCATTTCTAACAATCAGTTTGTATGATTGACGTTGAAAATGTCAGTAACGTTTTTATAACTGGTTCTGTTGCTTCATCTTAAGGACGGGATTTAGTACAAAAAATATCGCCCAGCGTGAGTCACGAAACGGGACCCCGGCAGGTGCTGTTCTAGCGGCCAACGCTTCAAGTCTAATAATTCCGCTGCACCGGATATTCGTCCGATTTTTCAGGAACGGCTCCAATTTGTGTACATACAATCTTATAAGGAAAGAGAGTAAATATTTTATTAATCAGTNTAACAAAATATATATCTATGTATATACTTTGTTAAAAACGTGTTTTTATTTACATCGAATACCAAAGTGTCATTGTTTATTAAAAACTAACATCTAAATTAATTGAGAAATATTAGCTGTTTATGCACCAAGCACGATTACATTTATTATTTCACATTATCTCACAAACAATAAGTACTAGGTTTGCAGAACCTTTAATAAAGTTCATCTATTTTTTTTATGGTGCTTTCACAAATACAATAAAATACAGGGTGTTCCATTTAAAAATAATTTAAAAATACATAACATTGATACGGTGTAACATGATCATACTTTCGAACACCATAACAGAATTTTAGACAAGCATTTTGTAATTTCTGGGGGCTGTTTTTGTCTCTAACAGTAAGTGCTGGCCAGTACAGAATATTGCAGTATGCTAGAGTTGAGAGAATTAATGTGTCAGTCAGTTTAAGTTTAATTTCAACTGATAGACAATCTTTATGCATGTAGAGCATTTTGAGTTTACAATAACACTTTTGTAATGAATGTGCCACATGTGTCTCATACCTTAGACGAGAATCGATATATACACCCAGATTTTTTACACGTCGTCATTAACATAAATGAACAACAACCATATAATTATGAAATTAATAATCCTAAATGTCGCTATCCATAAATATTTATCGCTAACATTCGTAGCCTACAAAAATAAAAATTCTAAATTGTTAATTCAAATAAACAGGTTTTTCTTTTTAATGCAACACTTAAGAAAAAGTTAAGGAAATTGTAGCAATCTAGAGATACTTATCACTACCTACTAAAATTTATTCTTATGAACCAAAATTAATTGCTGTCTATCTGAATTTATCGTTATCTACCAAAATTTATCGCTATGTACCATAATTTATCACTGTCTACCTGAGTTTGTTGCTATCTACTAAAAAATTTATTGCTACATACCGAAATTTATTGCTGTCTACCTGTGTTTGTCGCTAGCTACTAAAAAATTTATTGCTATGGATCAAAATTAATCGCTGTCTACCTGAATTTGTCGTTATCTACCAAAATGTATCGCTATGTACCATAATTTATCACCGTCTACCCGAGTTTGTTGCTATCTACTAAAAAATTTATTGCTATATACCGAAATTTATTGCTGTCTACCTGAGTTTGTCGCTACCATCATTTATCGCTGTCTACCTGAGTTTGTCGCTATCTACTAAAATGTATCGCTATATACCGGAATTTATCGCTGTCTACCTGAGTTTGTTAGTATCTACTAAAAATTTTATTGCTATGTACCATCATTTATCGCTGACTACCCCAGTTTGTCGCTATCTATCAAAAAAATTATTGCTGTCTATGTGGGTTTGTCGCTAGCTACTAAAAAATTTATTGCTATATACCGAAATTTATCGCTGTCTACCTGAGTTTGTCGCTACCTAACAAGTGGGAAAAACGTGTTGTTATTTTAGTTGTTCCAATAAGTGTTGTGTGCTATAACAGAATGCATATGTAACCTTGATGATGTTTTTTAAGATATGCTTTACTTTTTTTTTTTATTTATCAAATGATGCCTCAGGGGATGCAAGCATCCATAACAGGCATTATAGTTTTTTTTTTTTGGTTCACACAATACAATGTGTTACAATTTAAAAGAAAGTATTCTCAAGATATAAGACATTCAATGCATATACCACGTACACATCAATTCACATTTACACACATTTTGCAGTTCAAATATTTATAGTCAGTCTCTAAACTGCCCCAATTTTTGACTGTACTTCAATGGACGGCACTTCACACCCGCAAATATTTTTTTGAGGACTCCTCAAAGCCTTTGCACTCATGAAGGCTTTTTATGCTTCAACACGTGATATTTTATACCACTCCTGTATTTGGATTCGTAATCACAGTCATTACACTAGTACCTTTAGAACTTGAGCAGCATATTTGTTTCAGTTGATGTCGCTGCAGATGATTCTTGTATTTACTTTCGAAGGGGCAGTTGTTACACCTGTATGTCTGGACCTTAGAAGGATCTCTACGTTTCAGTTGATAGCACTCCTGTATTTATTTTCGTAATCGCATTCATTACACTGGCAAAGGATTTTTATGCTTCTGTTGGTGCTGTTTGATACTTCTCCTGTATTTAGTTTTGAAATCGCAGTCGTTACACCGGTACATTTGAACCTGCGAAGGATCTTTATGTTTAAGTTGATGCTGTTTGAAATGACTGCTGTGTCTAGTTTTGTAATCGCAGTCCTTACATCTGTACATTTCAACCTGCGAAGGATCTTTATGTTTCAGTTGATGCTGTTTCAAATAACTCTTGAATTTAGTTTCATAATCGCAATCGTGACACCTGTACATTTGAACCTGTGAAGGATCCTTATGTTTCAGTTGATGCTGTTTGAAATGCCTTTTGTATCTAGTTTTGTAATCGCAGTTGTCACACCCGTACATTTGAACCTGCGAAGAATCTTTATGTTTCAGTTGATGCTGTTTGAAATAACTCTTGTATTTAGTTTCATAATCGCAATTCTGACACCTGTACATCTGAACCTGTGAAGGATCTTTATGTTTCAGTTGATGCTGTTTGAAATGACTGTTGTATCTAGTTTTGTAATCGCAGTTGTTACACCCGTACATTTGAACCAGCGAAGAATCTTTATGTTTCAGTTGATGCTGTTTGAAATAACTCTTGTATTTAGTTTCATAATCGCAATTCTGACACCTGTACATCTGAACCTGTGAAGGATCTTTATGTTTCAGTTGATGCTGTTTGAAATGACTGTTGTATCTAGTTTTGTAATCGCAGTTGTTACACCCGTACATTTGAACCTGCGAAGGATCTTTATGTTTCAGTTGATGCTGTTTGAAATAACTCTTGTATTTAGTTTCATAATCGCAATCATGACACCTGTACATTTCAACCTGTGAAGGATCTTTATGTTTCAATTGATGCTTTTCGAGATATCCCCTGTATTTAGTTTCGAAATCGCAGTCGTTACACTGGTACATTTGAACCTGCGAAGGATCTTTATGTATCAGTTGATGCTGTTTGATATGACTGTTGTATTTAGTTTTGTACTTGCAGTAGTTACACCTGTACGTTTGAACCTGTGGAGGGTCTTTATGCCTCAACAGGTGCTTCTGAAGTAATTTCTTATTTTCAGTTTCGTACTCACACGATTCACATTCATAAGCTTCCAAATCGTTCTCATGGCTCGCACAGTGTGCCGTAAAACGGATCTCATTTTCAGTTTCGTAGATACATTCATCACATTTGTACAATACTTTACGCTCTTGCCTGGTTTTCACTTCTGATCTATTCTCATGTTTACATCCATCCTCTTCTTCATCTTTACAGTCACTCTCTTCGAATAGTACAATATCGGAGGTATGAAGTGGCGTGTCGCTGAAAAAATTTGCATATACAGCATAGTTTTGAAAATCAGATATTAATTTTAAGGGGCTATAACAATAATTGAATCAACCTTAGTACTGATAGCATAAT